GGCGATCTGACAGTGGTGCAAGGTAGTGGATGTGGCAAGACAGTCGCTGATGTGCTTGCAACAATGAATCGGGGCCTAAATAATAATGATATGAATGCAGATGACCATAGAGAAGAAGACGTCTTTGATGGCAATGAAACTTTAGATGATGAAAGCGGAGCCACTTTGCTTTCAAAGCCGTTTGCGCTCAAGCCGCTCTTGTCTGTGGTGGCGAGTTGCATACCACGTCGTGAACCGGCCCTTGGGTCGCGTTGTGGGGAGGAAACGTTCTTTAGCTCCGGAGCTCCCTACTCCTCCTCCTCCTTCTGCAGCAGTACTGCAGTGACCACGGCACGAAAGACGAAAAGATCAAAACGGACTGACTCAGAGGCAAAAAACCCGGCCGATTCCGCCAAAATGGGGGTGGAGTTATTGGGTCATCGTGTACCGCCAATGCCGCGTTTTACGACACGTGTGACGGTATTGGTGGAACACGACGAATTGGAACCGGTGGATTTGCTCTCCATGGCGGAAAGGAGCACCACACGGAAGGAGGACGTTGACAATAAAAAGCCGGCGTCACGCAAGAAGCGTGTGCCACGCATTTACTGTCACATAGCCGATGGAGGGGAGTACTAAAAACAGTGCGTACGGGAGGAAAAAAGAAAATCAAATAAAAAACGTATGGATTGCACCTCAACGAAAAATAAAGTAAGAAAAAAAGGAAAAAAAGAATGTACAAGTAAACTGAGGAATAGTGGTATAGAAGGATATGGATATGTATTATTTAGGCCCCCCAGGTTGAATGCAACACAACAAAAACAACAACAACAAAACGGAATTGGCCCAACGCTGTTGCGGATAAAGAAATGCAGATGATTTTTTTTTTGTTTTTTGTTTTTGTGGTAGTAGTGGTGGTGGTGGTGGTATTTGTTTGTTTTACGCATCTGCGGTTATGCAGTTGGCGTATGTATCTGCGCATGTATTTATGTGTATGCCTTTTCAATGGGAGTGCAACGGCGTGTTGGATGCCGGAGCTGAATACTCATATGATGTGCGGCGAAAGAGAAAGTGAATGTCTATCTATCACGCACAGGGAGGCACAGAGCAGTCGGGCAGGAGTGAAGGGAGTAAGAGAGCGTGCAGCTGAGTGAGGGTAAATGTGATGGGGCAGGGAGCAAAGAAACGTACGAAAGAAGAGGGTGGAAAAGGAAAGCAGGGTCACGCGAATGTTTTTTTCTTCTTTTTCCTTTTTGCCTGCTTGAGCACTGTGGCTCTGTGCGTGTTTCTCTACACACCGAAGCATGTCATGTTGTCGGCGGCACCGCATCTAATTTAAACGCCTCCATCCCTTTTGAATTTCAATGTGAATGAACAGATGCCAAAGAACGCCACCACGTCTCCCTACTTATTTCCATAGAGGAAGAAACGAGGGAACATGCGGGATAAAGGAAAGAGGGGGGAGATAAAATAAATGCATTTTTTTTTGTTGCTACCTCTACTGCACGAAAGACTGGGGAGGAATGGTTGGGGGAAGGGGGCACGGGGATTTTACTTCTTCGTTTATGTGAGAGAAGTGTATTGGAAAGGGGGATTTGTTTTTCTCTGTGTTTGGGGTTTTATGCGCCCCTTTTGTTTTTGTATGTGTATGTGTGTCTGCCTGCCGCCAAGAGTGCATGAAGGGAAAGGGAATTTCTTTACGCACTAGCAGCGATATGGGAGGCGTTGCTTTTCCACTTGCCATACACGCACAGAGGGGTGGGGGGTGGGGGGCAAAGAATATGAGGGGGAATAGCAGAGCCAATGGCTGGGAACGTAGAATGTAAATGTGAAAGCTAAAATGCAAAGAAAGCGTAAGGTGTGAGGGAAAAGAAAATGTACATGAACGAAGACGATATGGATGGAGTTTGCTAAATATATATATATATATATTGCTCCCCATCTTGTTTCGCTTTTTTTTTTTTTTTCTTTTATTCCTCTTTTTTCTTATATATGCGTGTGTGTTTTATGTTTCCTTATGGTGTTTGGTTGTTGTTGTTGTTTTTTTTTGTTTTTTGTTTTTTTCTTAACCTGTACAGATCTGTTTTTACACCGAGATTTTTTTTTCTTTTTTTTTTTTTTTTTTTGAATCTTGATATGTTTGTTTCTTTGTCCATCTTCCCCGACGTGACACTGTTATATACATGCATGCATTTATACAAGCGTACATTCCATTTATACATATATTCATGCGGATATGTCAATCACCCCATATGTATGTAAGCATATGTGTAGAAGCAAACGTACCAGCAGGAGAGGAAAAAAGGAAAAGGGAGGGATTGCGAAAAAAAACAGGAAAAACTTTTTCTTTTATATATTTACTGAAATGACGATTGGAAATATTTATGCCAATAAATTTGTGCTGCTGCATTTATTGGCTTTCCATGATTTTTATTCTTGCCTTTTTGTGGTTTCTCTCTCACTCTCTCTTTCTCTCTGTGTGTTTGCGGGTGTGTCCTTGTGATCTGTGACGCTATGGCGGCAGTCGCGTTTCTTGCGTTTATGTTGTCTTTTTTTTTTTTCTTTTTTTTTCTTGATTTTGTTTAGAGGATTGCCTCTTATATGTCTTTTTTCGTTGCTTGTATTTTCCTTTATCGTTGTTTTTTGTTCTTTTTGCACTGTGTTGGTCTTGCCAATAACGACACCCTCTTTTAATCTGTATTCTCTTTTATTTATTTTTTTTTTTTCTTTGTTGGTGTTGTTGTTTTGCCGCGGCGTGTCAATGTGTGCGGTACTGGCGAGAGGCAGAGCGAACAGTAACCGTGACCGCGTTGGAAGATGGAGGAGTCGACAAATATCCCCACCGCCCCGATCAGTCCGCTCCCGCCGGAGCACACAGCGATGCCCACAACGACGGGAGTTATTGACGCCGTTTCGGAATCGAGTTCTCGCGCAACGTCAAGGCCTTCGTTGCGCCGTCAGGTGGGGGTGGTTATTCTGCCCAATTCCTACGACGAGTCCGAGTCGACGGCGTCACGCGCCCCGTCGGCATCCAACTCTGCCGTGCGAGGCGCCACGGCTGCGAAGCGGGGGCGCAGCAGTGCGGAGGTGAGGCAGTCGACGGGGAAAAAAGGCACGGCGAAAGGCAAGGAGGGCACGTCAGCGGTAAAGCGGCCGTCCACAAGGAGCCCCGTGACCACTCCCCCTGTTAGTGCGGCCGCTGCTTCTCCCGCCAGACACGCCTCGGGGCTCAATCGCCTCGCCTCGTTGACGCGCCTCAGCTCCTCGCAAAAGGAAGGTGACAAGTCGACATCCAGCACAGGGGCGAAAAAGGGCAGACGATCTCCATCCAAGCCGGCTGGAAAAACGAGAGCTTCATCAGGGAGCAGAGGAAGAGAGAGGACGTTAGGAAAGGATCGTCGTGGATCCTCAGCACGGCAGCGACGATCAATTGACACGGGGAAGAAAAAATTTAAAAGAAATTTGCAAGCAGTGATGAATACGGAAGAGAAGTTGCGTGCAGCTATTGAAGTGGAATATGAAGCTGGCTGGAAGGAAATGATGATGGAAATTGCGATTGACTCCTTTGAGCCACAGAGAAGAAACATTTTACAAACTCAAGAAGAATTGTGCAGGGTGCGTCGTGAGTGTGATACTGCAATGAAACGTGCGGAAAATGCCCTGAAAAGGCTAATTAAATGTAACTCTCATTTTCTTCAAAAGGCACGTGCCACCGGCGTGGATCTCCTAAGAGAAGAACATATCCTTGAGCTTGACGTCCCGCATACAACACCAAACATCACAAATGAGGAAGAAATATTGTCATGCGCAAGAGATCCTTCTTCCTACCTGACGGAATCCTACGTACCTGTGAAAAGGAAGGATGCGGAGCAGGAAGATGAAATTGCGAGAATAGGCCGGTTTTTTCTGGAACTCGCGCAGCAATTGGATGGTACTGTTTCCCTAACAGAGAATAATTTTATTCTTACTGTGGAGCAGGCAGATGAGGTGGAGAAGAATACGGCAATGCTTACATCTTCGTTTTCATTGCTCATTCAACGGGTAAAACGCCTGGTTGAGCAGCGGCGACAAAAAATGGAGTTGATGCAAGGTGTTATAAATGAACAGGCAACTCGTATGAAGGTGGCGGATGATTTTCTTCGAGAGACCACCGCAAAGCATCGTGTGGAGGTGGAAAGCGCGATTCAGGTTTGCAGAGAATTTGGTATGGAACTTCGCCGGCGGATGGATGCCTTGGAAAAGGATGTACTTGACAATCTTAGCGATCTCATTCAACGGAGTACGGAAGTGTGCATTGAAAATAACGCCTTCCATGACCATGCGCAGCTGCTACTCAACAAGGAAAGTACCATTCAGCGCTACATGTCCAAGATGGAGACGGTAACTGTGGAACAGGGAAAACTGCTTCGCGATGTACGTCTTCGACTATTGCAGTTGTGGAAAGAGCGTTGCGGCGAGGGTGACGAAGAGCGATCCACACTGGCACACAGTGGCCTGCCAAATGTTTATCACACCGCACTGGAGGCATGTGATCGTGACACTCTTCTTCGTCTTCTGCACTTCGTTTCCCTGAATAGCGACGATGTACCCGCTTTGCTGATCAGCGCACTGGATGAGCATGAAAGTTTTATAAAAGGCAATACAGAGGAAGCACGGGCGGTTGCGGAGCGGAGTGCAACGGAGGCGGCGGTGCGTGCACTTCTAGAGAAACTGTACGAAGAGGGAGATATTAAATTTAATTTACGTCCCTGTTCTGCATCCATTGCAGACGCAATCAACGAAATGGTACGTCGCTACAACACATACATGACGGAATTGGATAAGAAGGAGCGCCGGGCAGCGAGAAGAAGAGATATGGAGAAGTTATTTCCTCCGTACCCATTTTTTGATAGTCGTACACCTGTGCCAGAGGAGTATGCTGCAGAAATAGCTTCGCGTCCACCAGTTCAAAAAAAACGGCCTGCAATATGTGACGGCAACGCCAGTCGCATGCAACCGGATATTACAACACCGACTTTCCAAGGCGGAAGCATCACGCTGCCCGGCATAAATCCGAAAAAAAAGGAGGACAACTCCAATTTTGCGCAGACCTTGACTGAAACCTGCCATGTATTGAGCTATCTGCGACAAAGCCACCCATCAGCTTTGGAGCCGCCCGGCACCGCCACGGTTGTGGGTTTTGGCCGTTGGGGCGGCAAATTGGCGCAACGAGGTGCGGATACTCGCGCTTATAGTGCGGGAGGAGGCGGTGGTGGTGGTGATGGTACCAACGCGTCATCTGCCCAGGATAACGCTGAAGCTATTCGATTTGCTATAGGATCCAGGCCCCACCCTCCGCCCCGTGTGCCGCCGCGGGTTTCGATCATGCAGCACGTGCTTGAGCATCACTGCCACGATGTAAACACACTCCCTGCCCCTCCCCAATCGCAGTGTAGGCTTTTTCCAGGCGAAGACGCACCGTTTCTCAAACAACAACGATTCGTCTTTGAAGCAAACTCGTGACCGTAGATTTTGTTTGTTTCCGTCTTGGCCGTTGTTTTTTGGCTCATGAAAACTTTTTATCGTGTGTGCGTGTGTGTGTATTTACTTTTTTTTTTTTTTTTTTTTTTTTTTTGGTCTCACTGTCTTCTTCTTTCTATTTTACTTTCTACCTTTTTGGTTTTTATGCGTTTACCCTGTCACTGCTGTCTTTTGTGTTTGTGTGGGCGTCACTCTTTTCCACTTTGAAGGAGTGAGAGCCGCTTTTTCTCTCCTGACAGTCAAATAACAAAAACATATGTATATATGATGAGAAAAAAAAAAAAAAAGATGATGTACATTTAATGTGCGCTTTTATTTAATTGGATGTATTTGAGTGTAGAGTAATGAGCGGAAATTGTGAGTTGCTCTTTTTTTTTTTTTTTTTTTCCCATTGCATGCAATTTTCCATCTCTTTTTTTCTTCTTGGCTTTCCGGTTTTTCGTTGTATTCTCTTGAAGAGGAGACCAGTATACATGTACATATAAATATATACATATACGTTTCCATGGTGTTTTTTTGGCTTATGCAAACGCATCTTGACAAATTTGATGTTCTTTACTGGCAATGATGCTGAATGAACGCCTGCTGTTATCTCTTATTGACGTTCTCTTGAGCGGTTTTTCTTTTCTTTTCCTTTTTTTTTTGCGCTTTTCTCAACCTTTCTCTCAGTGAGACGGCAAGTTGACGTACTTGTTCTCTTTTATTTCTTTCTTGAGGTGTGTGTGTGTTTGTGTTGTTTGCTGTTATTTTTGCCCGTGTATCTTTGCTACGTGGCCGCAGCTTACTTTACACCACTGCATGCGCCGTTCATTTTGTTTATTAGGTGTGTGGGGCGTGCTGCATGAGGAGCTAAGCAAGATTCCCACCATACTGCGTTTTTATGCAAATGCGTCTGTTAATGCCGCAACGAAAGCCTGCCAGTCGATGAAAAACGCCTACACAGACGAAAGCCCTGAAATGGCCGAGAAGCGCAAACGGCATCGTGAGGCCTATGAGGAGATTATGCGGCAACAACAGCAGCAGGCAAAAGATGCGTCTGAGGATGCGCTGCGCGGGCTGAGTTTTAGGGAACGCCTCAAGAAGCGGTTATCTGCCGTCACAGAAGCACTAAAAGAGGCAACATCGACGAATGCAGGAGCTATGGCGCTGCTGCAACATTGTGCCGCGTCGCATGCGGCGGAGGTTGCGGTGGAACAAGGCATCGATGTGAAAAATGTAACCATGCGGCTGGAGAAGAATAAGACCAGCACACAGGTTGGGCACGAGACTGTGGTAGTGGGTTATATCGACGCCCCGAATGCGTCTGAAGAGGATGTGATGGCGTTTGCTGAGAAGCTGCAAAAGCGATGTCCGGTAGCCAACTCGATGCGGGAAAGAATAGAATGGCGTAGCGTGTCTTCCACCACCTTGAAACACGACAGTAACAATGATGATAAAAACGACAGCGCCGATAACATTCCAAAGGGAACCCCAGGGTTTAGTCGCTACAACTCACCGACTGCCAAAGAATCTGGCGGGGGTCTGCAGGATCCTGATGACCTGCATCTTCCTCGAAGCAAGCCCCACAACGAAGAGGAAAGAGAGAAGTAACCACAAAAAAAAACAGGAGACGCAACTGTATTGTTTCACTCCTCGATAATGCCTCGCACATCTGAGTGGGCTGTGTGCGTCCTGGTTACATCCGGCTGAAGGGGCGTGTGTGTGTTTGTGTGTGTGTAGCTGTTTTGATACGCCGTAGCCCCACACAGACGCACGCATGCGCATCTGATTCAGGGTACAGGTTGTGAATGGAGATTTTGAAGAAAAAAAAATAAAACAGATAAAATCAAGCATCAAAAAATAAACAAGAATTGGTGTGGAGCGTCTGTTTTGCCTGGTTGGCAGATTGATGATCACGTGTGCTTCCCTTTTGCTGTTGCTTTTTTTTCCCCCCTTGAATATATTTTTCTTTTTTTTTTCTCATTATATTTTGTTGCCTCTTGTCCACGATGATGCTGTCTGTAACGGAATGCCTATGATGAATACAGAACAGTGTTGCGTGCGGATAGGGCAGAGGGTGACAGGCGGAAGTGGGCGGCTCACGAATTGAGGGAGGGTTAGGGTGGGCGGCGAGGAGTAGTGTGTGTGTGTGTGTGTGCGTGTTTGGGGAGGGAAGGGTGGGTTGTATTTGTCTGAATGAAAGAAAAGCTGCGAAAAGTTTTTTGCTGCTGTGACTTTGCGCGGTCTGCGAGTGGTGCTGAAGATAAAGGGGCTTTCCTGAAAAAAAGGCTTCAAGCCAAATGCCTTGCCTTCCTTCTGAAGTGCTGCACGCCGCAGGAAACTGTGATTCCCCCGGCGGAGTGGCGCAGGCTTTACGGCAAATGGGCGCCGATTGGATCAGAAGGAGCGGAGGTCCTTTGTGAACTCCTTCTGAACCAACGGAATGAAAGGGGAGCGGTTGATGGCGGTCGACGGATGTTGACATTAGATCTGCAAGGACTGCGAATTGGGGATGACGGCGTGCAAGCGCTCGTCCCGTTCATTACTTGTGATGATGGGCTGGTGACTTTTACGCTGTCCGGCAATGACATCACGGACAAGGGTGTCAACATATTGCTGAAAGCTCTTCAGGCGAGTCCTTCGTCTGTGCGG